GGAGGGGTTTTTTTTAAAGGCGGGGGTTTTTTTTTTTTTTTTTTTTTTTTTTTTAATTTTCTTTTTGATATAGGTTGCTTGTGCTCGCCAGACAGACAGAGAGTGACATAGAGACAGAAAGCGAGAAATCACCCCCCAGGGGGATGGTCACGCTGCAATCCCTTCTCCTCCATTCTCCTCTCGGGATCTTGGGCACGCACGCACATGCGCCCAGCATCAGTTTTAAGCCACCGGGTCCGGGATGTGAACTGTGGTCAACTACGTGGGAGTCCAGCGACATAGCCATTACGCCAACTGCTGGTTCCCGGCTGGAGGTTTTTCAAGCTTACTGGTTGTGGAAAGAATTCATTTCTTTGAGACAGTAGGAGGTCTGTAGCTCCAAAAGGCCAACTAGCAATTTTCTGCCACATGGCTTTCTCCACAACATGACCAATGTGCTTCTCCAAGGCTTTCAGGAGAGTACTCTCCAGTATGCTGAGCAGTCTTACAGAATATAATGCAGTCATGAGAGCAATGATTTGATTACATTCATGGGCCCTACCCACACTCAGAGGAAGTGATTATGTGAGGTTTGTATACCAGGAGGAATCTTAGGAACTATCTTTTATTTTTTTTTGGAGAGTTTTTTTTTTTGCTATAGGGTACATGAGTTTGCCAGACAGACAGAGAAAGAGACAGAGAGACAGAAAGCAAGAAATCACCCCCCGGGGGGATGGCCATGCTGCAATTGCTTCAAGTGAGAAATTACCCCCCAGGGGGGATGGCCACGCCGTAATCCCTTCTCCTCCATTCTCCTCTTGGGATCTTGGGCACACACTCACACACGCCTGGCATGAGTTTTAAACCACCGGGTCCAGGATGCGAACTGCGGTCAACTACATGGGAGTCCAGCGACATAGCCATTACGCCAACTGCTGGTCCCTTAGGGACTATCTTAAAAATTCTGCCTGTTACAGGGAAGTAATGAGAGAAGTAAGATTTTGCTTTTGAGACTTGAACGAAGTTTTTATCACCCTTATTGTTACTGTCATCACCATCATCATCTCAGCTTTTAATTCTTTTAGTTTTTGTTTATTTATTTAGAGACCTCCAGACAGGGTCTTATCATGCCTCAGTTTCCCATGCAGCCCTCTAGTCAGCCAAGACCACTGGTGTTCCTGAAGATGCACCTGCTGTGGCTCACCTTCTCATAGTAGTGCACCACTAAATGCACCATCATCGCTGGGCCCGACTCACTTTTTGAGAACCAAGAAGATGTGAAAAACTCATGCAAAGTGTACAAATTTTTAATGCACTATTGAGAAAACTAGCCAGAGAGCCTAATAACCTAACAAATATTCACCTTGATGGGGCTCCCCTGGAGCAAGGATGTGACTTCTTTATTGCTCATATCCAATGGCTCACCTACTGAAGAGCTGTGCCTTTGAAGTCTCAAAGTTGTACTCATTGTTGACAGCCTTCTGTGTCAGTCATTAATAGACTGAAGCAGTATTTCCAAGTGTGGACTATGCTTCCTCCAGAACCCACAGGTGTCTACCTGCCATGGTCCTTTCTTCCTGGGGTTGAGAGATGCCAGGCATTAGACCTGCTTTGGAGGGAATATCCCAGCATGCTTGTAGATTGTTTTTAACACAGCAGGCCGCCGAATCTTCATAGGGCTTATTGCTGTCCTTTGACAGGCAGGTATCTTACCAAGGTCTTCAATTTACTTGCCATTTCTTGTTCATTAAGCTAAATTAACATGACATCATGGATACAGAAGTCCAATGTTTCATTTTTGGAAATTTTCATAAAGTTCAAGTTTTATTTTTATTTATTTTGTTTCCCACATTATGTTAGAGGGTATGAGGGTTATCATTGCCCTGGGGCAAGACTGAAAATATATATACTCTTATCTATACAATGTTAATGGGAACTTCTTCTGGAGCTTCTTCTTCTTCTTCTTTTTTTTTTCCGAATTATTTATTTAATTTAATTTATTTATTCATTTATCTTAATTTGACCAGAGAGAGATACAGAGAGAGAGAGTGAAAGTGAGAAAGCAAGCCATCAGGTCCGGGACTCAAACCGTGGTTGGCTATGTGGGAGTGTCCAGTGCCTTAACCGCCGTGCTACCTGCTGGCCCCTGGTGCTTCTTCTTTTTTTTTTAGTTTCCATTATCAAGATAGTTTATTACTCAAACGTACAAAAGGAAGGAACACAGCACACTATGGGGGCCACATAAGAATGTGCCAGTCAGGGCTGATTAGGAGGCAAGGAAGGGGATGGTGGTAAGGGCTTGCGGTTTCCACAGGCAGAAATAGGCAAGGTTAATCAAGGAGGTGGTTGACAATGGTGTGGGCCTGCATACCATTGCCTTGCTCTTGAAAGGTGTGCTGGTAGGCAGGGGGGGTTGTTTATCATCTCTAGGAATTAGCACAGAAAAAAAATCAACTGTATGAATACATACCTCTTAATGTGCTCTACCAAGGATACCACATCAGGAACAGCAGCTGCAATGGGAGCTTAGTTGGCTGAGTTCACAGTAGTCTGCTGTCATCCTCCGGGATCCCACTGACTCAGGATGCCTTTGTTATAGCTCAGAGATGGGTTGTAGATATGAGGAGAAACATTAATTAGGAGAATAGTCCCTAATTAAATTGTACTATTAAGAATAAGAAAGATAAGTGGAACAGGGGGCGATTCCAGAAACAGGCTTCAATATATATGAGAATATAGTATGTAACAAAGTTGGCATTCCATTTCATAGGAAAAGGATGGATTTTTTTGGGTGAATCTTTTTTTTTTTTTGGAGAGGAATTTGCTATAGGGACGCTGTGCTTGCCAGAAAGACAGAGACAGAGAGACAGAAAGAGAGAAATCACCCCCCGGGGGGTATGGCCATGCTGCAATCCCTTCTCCTCCATTCAGGATCTTGGGCATGCATGCACACGTGCCCGGCGTGAGTTTAAGCCACCCAAGGTTCGGGAACTCAGGTTGACTACATGGGAGTTCAGCGACATAGCCATTGTGCTAACTGCTGGTCCCATTGGGTGAATCTTTTTTTTTTTTTCTTCTTCTTTTTTTATTTTTTTTGGAGAGGTTTTCACTATAAGGCGCGTGCGCTCGCCAGACAGAGAGAGACATAGAGACAGAAAGCAAGAAATCACCCCCCAGGGGGGATGGTCACGCCGCAATCCCTTCTCCTCCATTCTCCTCTCGGGATCTTGGGCACGCAGGCACACACGTCCGGTGTGAGTTTTAAGCCACCGGGTCTGGGACGCGAACTGCGGGCACCTACGTGGGAGTCCAGTGACATAGCCATTACGCTAACTACTGGTTCCCTATTGGGTGAATCTTTTAAATAAATGGTTGTGAAACACCTGGATGTTCATCTCAAAGAAAGTAGGGTTTGACTCCTATTTGTACCATAAATAAGAAAGTCCAGCTATATTAGAGACTTAAAGATAAAACAAAGCAAAAAATGTAAGGAAACATCTTAGGAAATGACATGTACAATCTAGGGTTTGGGGAAATCTTTCTAACCAAGACCAAATTGTAGAACCTACATTTAACAAATATAGCAGAAAGCTTATGGATTAGCAAATAATACCTCCAAAGCTGAAAACCTTGCAAATTTATAATATCTGATAGATATATGGGATATGAATAAGAAGTTCACATGGTGGGGCCGGCAGGTGGCGTGGTGGTTAAGGCCAATGGTGATTTGAGCCCTGGAACTGGTGGCTTGTTTTCTCACTTTCTCTTTCTTTCTTTCTCTCTCTCACTCTGTCACTCTAAAATAAGCAAATAAATTAAATTAAAAATTAAAAAAAAAGAAGTTCACATGAAAGCAAATCATGAAAAGATGCTCAAACTCTGAATACATTCAGAAGTGTGCATTAAATTAACAGCATATTATCACTGGCAGAATAAAAAAAATCTGTAACTCATGTTGTTAGTGAAAATGTGGGACAAAGTCATCTCATACATTGATGAAGGAAGTATAAATTGTAACAAGCATTTAGAGTTAAAAAGAATCTTAATTTAAGTTAAATCAAATTTTAAACAAAATTAAAAACAAATATACCCAACACAGTAATCCTCTACTAGTAATTTATCCCAAAGAATAAAATTTTAATAATATTAAAAATATATTTATCTGACACAGCAATCCCTGCATTAGTAATTTATCCCATAGAATAAAATCACTAGTTAGTAACATACTACTCCTGCTTCTATCCCATGGTTCATGCACCTCGGTGTTCTACTTGTAGGGAACACAGTACCACATAATGATCATTGTCTTAGAGTATGTTCTCTGTCATGGAGCATGGTGTCTCATCCTCTCTGGGTATTATCTCTTTGCTGGTATCTCTTTTGCCACTCATAGTTGGCAACTGAGCATGTATAAGGGTGTTTACTGTTGGCATTCTAGGTGGTGACAAAATAGTTGGAGACAAAAAGAATAAATGGTACTGCCAGATTGTAAAACATCAGCTGTAAATTGTACAATATGAGGTACTGGAAATGACTGAATAAATTATGATAGTCCACACTGAATAATATATATATATATTTTTTGAGAGGTTTTTGCTATAGGGTGCATGTGCTCACCAGAAAGAGAGAGAGAGAAAGAGAGACAGAAAGCAAGAAATAGCCCCCCAGGGGACATGGCCATACCACAGTCCCTTCTCCTCCATTTTCCTCTTGGGATCTTGGGCACGCATGCACACGTGCCTGGCGTGAGTTTAAGCCACTGGGTCCAGGACTCGAACCATGGTTGACTACATGGTAGTCCAGCGACATAGCCATTAAGCTAACTGCTGGTCCCCAAACTGAATAATATTGTGCAGCCATTTGATAGAATGAATTAGAGTTGTCCCTATAGATTTGGAGAACTTTTCATAAGACGTGGTGAAGGAGAAATGCACGGTTCAGAAAACTGGGTGTAAATCCAATTTTGTAAAATTATAATAAATAAATAAATAAATAAATAAATGAAAACTATAGAACTATGAGGGTATTAACATGATTTAGGGCTATAATGTGGTAGGGTGGGGGATAGTGATCATGCAAGGGGGTTAAAAGAACATTAAAAACAGCGTACTTATGGCCTGCTTGTGGTATGTTGGTTAAGGTGACTGGGCTCCATGTGACAGGCTATGCAGTTGGAGTCTCAGATCTGGCAGCTTGAAAAAAGTGCTGGGCTCGTGTGCATATATGTCCAAAATTCCAAAAGGAAGAGAAATAGAGAAGAGATTGGAGCATGACTATCCCCCATGGTGGGGGATATTCTCACTTTCTCTAACTCTTTCATTTTTTTTTTTTGTCTCCAGAGGGTCTATGTACCCTTTGAAAAAATAGTTTTTTTCTTAAGAGAGATTTTTGGTGTAGGGTGTGTGCGCTTGCCAGAGAGAGAGAGCTAGAAAGTGAGAAATTACCCCCCAGGGGGCATGGCTATGCCACAGTCCCTTCTTATTCATTCTCTTGTTGGGATTTGGGGTCCACACGCACACGTGCCCAGCATGAGTTTTAAGCCACCAGGTCCAGGACTTGAACTGCAGTCGACTCTATGGGAGTCCAGTGACATAACCATTATGCCATCTGCTGGTCCCCACTCTGGCAAAATTAAAAAAAATGTGTACAATATAAACAGTAGCAATATTGTTAGAATAGCAGGTTGGAGCAATTAATATACTCCGAAAGAACCAGCATTTATATATTAATATTACTTTATTTGTGATAACCAGAATAATTACTCAATTGCTACAATCTCAGGTCTACTTTTCTGATAGTCATACTGCTCAGAACCATGCAACAGTGTTGAAAGCTAAACTGAAAATTGTTTAGCTTCTGATCATATCAAATTCAGGATCATATAATAGTAAGCAAGGAGAACAAAAAGTATACACCCATATTAATTGGTTTCCTGGGATATGAATGTTTATTTTAATCTTAAAGCAAACTATGATTTTAAGTACCTAGAATCACTATATAATATTGGATCTTTGGAAAAGTCACGACTCATTTTTGCATAGAATAACATAGAAAAATATGTCATGACTTTTCTGAAGACCCAGTATTTAATATGCCACATAATCCTCCCTATGGTATTCAAGGCCCTCCTAAACCTGGATGTGATCTTTAGTTCCTCGCACTATATGCAGGTAACATTCTGAATGAATCATGAAACTTGTCAAATGTGCTTTGTTTTACAGTTATTTGTGTCCTCATTTTATCTTCTCCACTAGTTTTCAAGTTACTTTAGGTAAAGGACTCATTAAAAAATTGATATATCAGGGACCAGCAGTTGACGTAATGGCTATGTCACTGGACTCTCATGTAGTCGGCCATGGTTCAAGTCCCAAACCCGGTGGCTTAAACTCATACTGGGTGCGTGTGCATGCGTGCCCAAGATCCCGAGAGGAGAATGGAGGAGAAGGGATTGTGGCATGGCCATCCCCCCGGGGGGTGATTTCTCACTTTCTGTCTCTCTATCTCTCTCTCTCTCTTTCTGGCGAGTGCATGTACCCTATAGAAAAAACCTCTAAAAAAATTTGATGTATCAGTTTTATCTCAGTGTACATTTCCTCATACATTATAAGTAATTTATCAATAGTTATTGGTAAAAAAATACAATTTTATGGCTTAAGACACCCTGATTTGAACTAAAGTGCTCCCAAAGAACCAACATTTATTATTTTGTAATGAGTGAGGATGATATTTTACAAGAAAAATTATTGTGCTTCTGTTTTTTAGATATTGATAAAGTGTTTAGTGGTTTTGCAAGGACAACCAACCATCATCCACTCGAAGAAAAATATTGCAAGTTTTGAAAGTGTACAGCACATGATAGCTTGTTGTATCTTCTACATCACGAAGGTATTTACTCAGTTTTTGTTTGGGGTCATACAATTTAGGATCAGTAATGTTTCAGAAAATCAAACTGCTCTAGAGAAAGAGAGAAAGAAAAAGTAAGAAGTCATCTCCTGGGAGGATGCATACCACAATCCCTTCTCCATTCCCTTCTCAGTATTTTGGACATGCACACACATGTTCTTGGCATGATTTTCAAGCCATCATGTCTGGAACTTGAACTGTGGTCAACCAAGTGGAAGTCTAGTGCCTTAACCACCACGCCACCTGCTAGCCCCAGAAAGTCGAACTGCTTTAAATCACAGTGCTAAAAGTAGCACCCCAAAAGATCAAGTTAGAATGTACAATCTAAACATTACAGAATAATAACCTGCTATGGAACTTTTTGATGAAATTGTGATGTTTCACGAACTAAAACATGGCATTATTGAGCTAGCATTTGTATATCTTAGTGGTATTACATATGGTCACACAGAACATATTTGTTTCAAAACTGTAAAACATTAATTACATATTTATTAAACTGCCACCAACCTGCATAATGTCTTGTCAGGTTCCGATCTCAGTGGAACCTGCAGTCAGACCTGAAGTATCTTTTCTCTCCCCTTAAATGAGAAGGAATAATACTGGATACACATGGTTTTTTTGTTTCTTTCTTTCTTCCATGAAAAAATAATAGGTCAGGAAAGGAGAGAAAAAGACAGACATCTTCAACAGGTTCTTTATGCTATAATCCATGCCCAGCCTCAAAGGCCTGGATCATGGGTTCATAAGCACTTGGCATGTTCAGAGAGGCCTCAGGACACAAACCAGGGACCTTCCTCTGTGGGTCCAGCTTCATGGAGCATTCCATTACTGCTGTGCCATGGCTACTAGCCAGAGACAGGTATTTTCTGATGGTTTTGTTATGATCCTCCTGCCCTGTCCTCCCAGCCAGCTAGGATCATGGTGCACACCATTGCCAGCCTGTTTTAGGTTTTGCTGGGAACCAAACCTTTGCCTCCCATGTGACTCCAGCCATTATGTAGTGGTGGCTCCCACTTGTGCCATCACAGCTGGGCCAGACCTGAAGTATCTTACTGTAGGCATTGAGTTAGGGTAGGATGGCTTAGATAATATCAAGAGACCAAACAGCAAGGGTTTGATGGGAAGGTCAATCAGTAGGGGAGGGTTATTATAATCTCATAAAATCAGAATGTAAACGTGATGTTAGATCTGGCCAAAGGGAAGGCTAGACAGTGTCTAAGCATGATTCAGAGACTGCCATGCAGGCCTCTGAACTGAACAGAGGGAAACCTGTACAAGAATATTCACACTGTACTGATTAAGACTGATATATCTGCATATCTAAATCAGGCAAAAGTGTGGACAGAACACAAACTTTTTTTAAATTTTTATTTTACTTCTTCATCTAATATTTACTGATTAGCTATCTATCTGTGTCAGGCACTCTTTTGGAGCTTGATGCACACACAAAGAATTAGAACCTTTTAGTAGCTGTAGGAGAAGAAGCAGCTATGGATGACTCTGATTTCTAGCTTGGGTGATTAGTGGACGATGGTGACACAAACATGGATGCAGGATGATCACTAAGGGTCGGGACAATTAAGGAAGACTTTACTTAGGAGCAGAGGCTTAGATAAGCTCTAGCAAGAGTTAAAAATTCACATGCCAACTGAGACCAAGCAAATGAAATAAATTATGAATTGGTTGGATGTGACACAAGGTTTGTTGGGTCCTGAGACAAAATGATAGGCATTAAAATTAATGAACAACAACAACGACAAACACAGCACTGTTCCCACAGAGCTTATGATATAGTGGGAAGACAGAAAGCAAATATATACATAAAGTATAATTTTGTGAAGCTTTAGGTTTTATAAACAAAAATAAAAGCAGATAAGGGAGATTTGTGGGGTTGGGCCTGCTTTAAATGGAATGACCCTGCAGCAAGGAAGTAGAACTACAATAGACAGAGGAGGAATAACTTGGAAGGCAGAAGGATGAAGGACTGATTATATGAGCAAATGTACTTCAGAGTTTCATGGCCAATTTTAGTCTATACTTGAACAGGTTTATTCAAATAGAGTAGACCATTCATGTGGATCAATGGATTCCCAACCTGTTGACTTGAGAATTATTGTAAGATATCTATATATCCATAGGTGTATCTAGTTTTATTTGTAAATTGTATCAATTTATTTCCACATATGTGTTTTGCTTTTTTTGCAAATATGTGTGGAAACAGTTGAAATAACCAAATTATTTGCATTTATAGTTACATTGAAAAATTACTAGAGAAATGTTATTATAGCTGAAAGGCTTATGGGAAGGATATTAATTTATGATATATCTGAGATAGGAATTTTGAGTAGATGGCAGCTTAAGCACACTTCCTTGACTTTTTCCCTTTCTTTTCTTTTTAAACAATTATTTTATTTTAACTTTATTTATTATTGTTACTATTTTCCAATCTGAACAGAGAGAGACAAAGAGAGAGGGAAAGTGAGAAAGGAAGTCACCAGGTCCAGGACTTGAACCATGATTGGCCACATGGGAATCCAGTGCCTTTACCCACCATGCCACGTGCTGGCCCTGGCTTCTTTCCTTTCAGTTTCTTATTTCAGTGTATTACAGTGGCCCAAGCAGGTCAGTTGGTAAAGTCTGGAGAGGTATCTCAGGTCAAGGTATCTGAAGAAAGGGATTTATGAGACCTCATTCTAAACAAGAAAGAATAAAGATACCAGAGGCAAGGAAGTAGGCTTATTTATTTGCATTACTTGGCTCAAAGGCCAGCATTGTGTGGTTTCTCACAGGTTTTAGTTGACAGAATCCAGTGAATTTCCTCAAAGAAGGGCTGTATCTGCTTATTTATTATTATTGTTCTTAATGTGTTACTAACAGGGCCTTTCTGATTTGGCTAGAGGCCTTGAGGAACACTGCATAGGTGGACCACTTTGATGAGTCTCTCTTAGTTAGGGCTGAAGCTTGCTTCTATGGAGATCTCACAACAGAGAGGCTTTTATCCTCTACCTTCTCAAAGAAGGCATTATTTGCTGGCTGTTTATGGCCTGAGTAGAAAATCTCTCAAGAGTAGAAAATCCTCTCTCTTCCATTGCTTACTGGTTCACTACCTTTAGAAAGACCTCTGTGACCTGGCCTGTGTAGTTGATGAAGGAACATAAGCCAGTAGCAGGAAAAGTAATAACTTGCTGAAGAAGACTCAGTACCTAAGGGAGAGAGCAAACCAGCCCCCGAGATAATTGCCTTATTACTCTTGCCACATTGGAGAAGACCAGAGATGGCTTGGAAATAAGCAAAAAACAAAGAAAGCTTTCAAGCAGATGTGATCCAAACACAAACCAAAATCAAAAACAAAAGTGAAACCTCTGTAACTGAACAAACAAATTTGATTGAAAAAATTAAACAGGTGTATCTGAGTCAAATCTGGAGGCTCAAGAAATACCTCACCACATAGACCAGAATAACCTACAGACAGAAATTAATTTAGAAGGTAGATCCAGAAGTAAAATGAAAACAAAAGAAGTCTAGAGGTAGAGAAAGCAACAGAGGAAAATGGATAGGCTCCTTGAGTTCCAGGTAGGATTGCACGTGTAGATACATACTGGTGAAATTTCTGGAGTCAACAGATAAGGACAAATCTAAAAAGTTTTAAGACCCAAAGAGCAGGTTATTTGCAATGGAAAGAGAATCAGTTAGCTTCAGACATTTTATCAGCAACACTAGAAGTTCAAACATTAAAACATTTGTAAATTCCTGAGGGAAAAAGACTGAGGTCCAAAAATTAATAACCAAGAAAGATACCATTCATCTGTTTGGGCAAAATAAACATTTTCAGAAGTGCAGACATTTAAAAAAGTATTCTAACCATTTACTTATCTGAGGAAAACACTTGAGGAAATACTCTATCAAATGACAATTGATTCAGAACAGAAATCCCAAGATAGGAAAAAGGCAAAGAATAATGGAAGCAATGAATCTTGCAATATATGTATCATTACAACTGAAAAGATAATAAAGACGTGACTAGGTCTTTGTAATATAAATGCTAAGTAGGGATTTCTGGAAGAGAAGAGTCATCCTTGAAGGAAAAACTGATTAGTAACCTAGATCTAAAACTTCTATACTGTTTTGGAGTGATGGTGGGGAGACTTGAACAGGTAGAGATTCTTGTTGCATGGTTGTATGTTTTATATACATGTACATATACATACATACACACATAAAAATACATGTAGTATAAAATTATTACAGGTTAACTATCCAAATGCTTGAGAGCAGAAGTGTTTCAGATTTTTAAAAGTTTTTGAGTATTTTCATATACATAATGAGATCTTAGAGTTGGGATCCAAATCTAAATAAGTAATTCACTTATACTTCGTATATACTACATACATACAGTCAAATGCAATTTAATACAATATTAGTATATTGCAGTGTTTTGACTGTAACCTGGGACATGAGGCCAGTTGTGGAATTTTCCACTTGTGCTGTCATGTTGGTGTTCAAAAACTTTTAGAGTTTGGAGCATTTTGGATTTTGGATTTTTGGATTACAGATGTTCAGTCTGTATTTTTTTTTTTGGATAGGATATATATATACATATATACATATATTTGTATGTATGTGTGTGTGTGTGTGTGTGAAGAGGACTATGTCATGATGAGCGGAAGTTTAAAGCATACTAGTACTTCTAAAGTGATAGGGGGAAAGAAGTGAACGGAGAGGAATGAGAGAGGAAACAGAATAGGAAAAATTACAGTAAGGAAAAAAAGGATGAATTAAGCAAAAATAAGAGGGGATATAGAGTATTTAAGATGGAAGAAATAAAATGAAGAATATTAGTCAGTAAGTATGAATGAACTCAGAAGATTAGAGACTAAAAGTATTTAAGATGGAAGAAATAAAATTAAGAATATTAGTCACTAAGTATGAATGAACTCAGAAGATTAGAGACTTCCAGATGGGCTAAAATGCAGGTTCAA